AATGGAGTTCCCCTTTGTTTCTGCATCAGTTTGATATTTCTATGAAAAGATTTTAGCCAGAAGTATTAAATATTTGGCTTGTCCAATTCATGTTGGGCAATGCTTCTTGGCTGTTTTGTTTGTAATGCTTCTTGGCTTCCAGACTTCGTGCCAACTTTCATCATGATGATAAGTAAGGAAGTTTATAAAGAATTTCAAAATAGAAAACTATTTCTGATTTAACATTTTGTATATGTCTAACTTAATATGCAAATTATAGAATACTAATAATATTCTAATGTAGTTCTCACGTTATTTTTTCTCAGTGAAGTTTTAACTTTCTTAACCTACAATTTACAATAATTGGCACAAGGGGTTAGTTGACTTGTGACATTTAAAATCTCTTTCTTCACAGTCAGATGATATCAACATTTTCAAACTTCCTAAAACCACCTGTTCTACAATTGATGTACAAAATGCAGTACAGACAATACCTGTTGAATAATCAAATGTTAAAGCCAGCTTCTGACCCTCCTGTCAGAGGAAATATTTCTTTAAGTTAGGTTAAATACTTGACACAACAGAATATTGATTTTCAATTAACCAACAATACTGATTTCATTAGGTCAAGTAGGTAGTTTTACCTATAAATTTTTCTAAAGTAATGACCCATGGTTAGATGTCATTTCTGAATAAGTTTTGGTTTTTCTATAGTTGTTTTATTTCTAGTAGGTAGGTTATTTCTATAGCTTTTAAAAAATTCAGTTTTCTGGTATCAGTGTAGGAGTCTCTAATTTTTCTTTGGAAATTTCATAATTTTTTGCTCTTCAATAAATTAAGTACAATTAAGTAGACATTAATTTCTTTCTCATATTTGTCTTGCACAACTAGAATTTAATGTGATGGAAGGCTATAAAATAAACCAGTTATGACTATGGTCATTTTGTTCTTGTTTTCCATTTGAAACTCCATAAATGAGTTTTAGTTTTGTTTTCTCCAAATCTGGACAAGTCCAAAAAGTTGGGACTTTTCATTTTGTTTTGTTCCTTTTTTCCCTTCACTATTTTTATTATATGGTACTGCCATCTATGGGTTCTATTCATAGAATAATTTTGGTTTGTAGCTTAAAAGAGATTTGAGATTTCAAACTTAAAAGCCTACCTAGTTCTCACTCCCTACTAAAGATAAGAAATTCAAGATATTGATTTGCTAAATAATTTCAATACAGGTATATTCCTGATCATTAATAATTCTGAATTATCATCTATATTTAACATTTACACTTGTAAAATGATCCTAAATTTAAATTTTTGCCTTTTATTACAACTTGAGTAGATGAAACTATCTGGACCTTAACACTTGAAATACATTGTTCTTTAAATTTAGGTAAAGATTAACTATTCTAATACAAAAAAATTTAAAACTTAAGCATTTCTACTTTAGCTAATTAATTTGTATATCTGAGAGCATTTTAAAGAATAGGACAAGATTTTTGTTTTGAAGAAAACTTAAAATCCCATTGTAGTAAGAAGATATTTGTGTAGGAAATTTAGATGAGTATTATTTAAAGATTCAGGGAATAAGAATTCAATATGTTCATTTCGTGGGAGAAATCTCTAAACCCAGAATGATCAAAGGAGGAAAACAAAGGTGCAACTGTTATTTCTTTAAATTAATTAAAAATGTGTTTTCAAAATTTAATGACAAGAAATTCCAATGGGAAATTCAAAAATGTTTGTATTTCTTCTAAAACTATTTGAATTTAATGAAACACATTGGAGTCTAATGCTCTTGAATCTTAAGGACCACGTGCTCACTTCTTTTTTTCTAACACTAGTATTATTTCTCCATTATGGTAACTGTGTGTGATGACTTTGATATACTAATGTTTCCAAAAGTCATGACATTTAAACATTTTTAATAATAAACACTGGAATTTAAAGTCTGTATTTTAAAAATGAAATTATTGGATTGGCCCACACTCTCCCGCCTACCTGCTTGATTTGTGACCACTTTTGAATAATTCTCTGAGCTCACTGTAAAACAAGAAAGTTATGCGGTAGATAAGTATTAATTCAGAGAAAATAATAACTGAGATAACAAGGTGTTGAACAAGTCACACGAAGCACTTTATTTAGTATTTATCTTCTAAAGAGACTTACAAACTGTTTTAACTATCTTTCTTCATTTATTAGTGCATTTTTATTGCCCATGTTTGCAGTACACAGTTATTACACTTCCATGGGGAGTTTGTACATACACATAACACATCATAAATCTTCCTTCTCCCACTGCTTGCCTATCCCTCCCTGCTCTCTCCAACTCTTAATCCCCTTCCCATTTGAAAAAGTTCTTGATTAACTATTGTTTTTGTAAGTTTCAGGGAGAATTCATTTATTTCAAGAAATTTCTTTACTATGTAGGCTAAGCCTAAGCACCCTACTATGAAATTAAGTTTGAACACAGACTGGATCTTGTACCTCTCCCAAAAAAAGACTTACAATGACTGTCCATTGTGAGTAGAAAAATATATCATTTCTCAGTGGTTTTCCTATAGAATATGTTGGTTCTGCTTACTAATTACTTTATTAAAAAGGTAAGAAATAATGTGCAACTATTTCCAAGTACCTAACCACATTCAATAGCATTTAATAAAAATTTAGTGAAAACAAAAATAGTCATAATTAACATTTATGATGTGCTTGTTATGTGCAAGAGTTTGGCTCCTAACTTAACTTCTAAAACTAACGTAAATTTACTACGGGGAATGTAGTGATACAGTACTTGCCTAGCATGTACAAAACCCAGGGTTCAATATGCAGCACTGAAAATGAATAGGTAAGTTTACTATGTTCACAGTTCTCCGTTGCATGATGCAGGGAGTTACAACTATAAGTAATACTAAGTCTTGATCCCCAAAAAGTTTGCAGTTTGTCATTGAATAAATAATTTTACAAATCACTAAAACATAAAGAAAATCTCTGCACAGAAGAAACACAAACCAAGTGCTATCACATAAAGTTATTGGAAACAATGTCTTTTGAAATTAAACTTATAAATCACAGGTAGTATTTGAGCAAAGTTGGGGCTAGGAATATAATTCACACAGGAAAAAAGAAATTTCAAGTGAAAAACAAGTCAATCGGAAATTTTGAACGTGTTCAACTAATATCAAGTTACCTTTTTTGCATGAGCTTCAGTTAACAGTAGCTTTTAGAAGATAACCTAAAAATACTGAGTTAGAAACACTTTGAAAATTCTTGTACATCAGAGTAGCTGTGTGATCTAAAGAGTAACCGGAAAGTTCTATAAGCTCTGATCTGAAAGATTTGAAGACAATTAAGAAGGTAGACAGGTCAGAAAATACAAGAGACTATATATTACCTTAAGTGATTGGGACATACCGAAGATATAAGCCAGAATGATATGGTGGGGTGGGGGGTGGATAGTTATGAGAAACGTTGTGATGATGGAAAATTCTGCAACTTAACATTCATTGACTAAATGTTGGAAGAAAGAAAAAGAGAGTCAAACACAACTCATATAGTTCTGAGTCAAGTAGAAAATGATGCATCATTACTGATAAGGAAGCTAGGGAAGCCTAGTAAAAAAAGATGGCATGTTTTTAGTGACAATATTTATTCAAAGTGCCAAAAAAATCTTTCAAATGGAGAGTGTAGAAGGCCAGGGGAAGTGCAATTATGCAATTATGGAGGCCAAAGCTGGAGAAGGACATTTGCATTTGCTTTCTACATTGAAGCAATCTTGGAAGTCATTGGAGTTGAGATTGCTTAACAATAAGAAAACAATGAAAGAACCCCTGGGAAATCCTTACTTCTAGGATCCCAGAAAGAAAGATAAAGAAGGCAGGCAGTGACTCTCAGGCAGGAAAGAAGAGAGCCAAGAAAAATACCACAGAAATAAGAACTGGAGAATGCTTCAAGGAGGAAATTGTCAACATTTATTAAACACTTATAACAAAGGCTGTGCATAAATTGTGGATCATCTTACTCAGCTCAGATGTTATTAGTGGCCTTTAACAAAATGTTTTATTAGAGAGCACTTCCAAAATATTAAGACCTACCCTCTACTGACAGTGTCAGATTGCATTGTTCTCAATTTTTCATGTTTTCTCCAGCTCTGCGATTCTTCTTAGTAAACAGAACATACTTGAAGCCTCACTGGCTTTGGCCTTAGCCTTGTGACTTGACTAAAAAGTGGGGGCAGACACGATTCAGGCCACCCTCTAACTGAGGCACCCCTAGAGAGCTTCTGCTCTTCCTGTCACTAATGTATACTGTGCTGGCTACTGCCACAGGAACCGCATGACCCAGATAGGAGTTGCTCAGACTTGGCCCTGGAATAGGAAAATGAACCTAGAGTAAACCCAGGCAAACCAGTGCAGATAACCTGTAGCAACCACGCAATATGAGTTAGAAATAAATATTTGCTCTTGTAAACCACTGAGACACTGGAGATGTTTGATGCCACAGCAAAAGCTGACTAGTATTTCACAGTTAGAAAACAGAAAAAATGTCTAAAATGTTTACTATCATTGGAAATGGTGTTTGTTGTGTAATGTTCTTTAAAGCATATAAATTAAAAATAACTTACTCTGATCATTCTTAGCAACCTGGATCAAAGTTTGAACCATCCCTGCTACCCATTATTCATTTAAGTAATTTGCAGAGAGGGAAATCTTTGTAAATTATCTTTAATCATATGACATACCAGATTTAAAGGATGCTTTCCTTCCATTTTTCTCTAAGGGCTCTTTAAAATCTATACACCCGATTCCCTGTACTTGGATTTACCAGGGAAATTATTTTCCTCTTTGCTAGCAGAAGCTGCACTTCTCTTGATCTGTTCAGAATTCAACATTCTGTGCTGCCACTGTGCTGTTAAAATGTCTCCTCCACTACTTCCTTTGTGCCTTGTGATTTTTTTCATGGAACTGAAATGTGACTGTTGACACAGAGATGTAACACACTAAATTACCCTCATTTAAATAAAAAAACTTACCATGAGAATATGTTTCGGCATTTTTTTAAAGTAGTATTTTCCCCTAGACTTGGCCTGAAAAAAAATCAATGGCATAAAAATTAAAACACGGTACCCAAGCTTACAATGTGAATAATTTACTTTTGCTTCACCTGTTTGTGATACATTATGAGTTCGAAAAAGATGTATAACTTTATAACAAGACTATCGACCATCAGAATGTTCCCAAAATCTTCTAGATGCTTGGTTAGCTATATAAAAATACTGATCCTTGAATTTTTAAGTTATAGGCTACGTAATATAATATAGTTGCAAAAAATTCAAAGTAAATAACCAACAGCTGTACACTATGCGCCTTTGAAATATTCTTAGAGCAATACTGTCTTGTCATAAACATGCAATCGATGGGATTCAGAAACGTCACGTCTGATACGACTGCTGACGCACGTGGGCGGCAGCAGGCTGTGAATAAAGAGAGCTGTTAAGTCCAGGAGGGTTTAATATAAGAGGCTGGTGTAGAAACATTAGTGAAAAGATAAGGGATAAAAAAGACAAAAGGAGAAACTTCAACAGCTTCCAAGACAAACCACACTGAGGAGAAAATTCTCAATAGGAAAGCTATCAGGATTTTGCTTTGAAAAATACTTTTATTAAAAGGAAACTTGGATTCCAAAATCAAAGTACCTATCCAAAAACTCCTTTTCCTGCTTTTATTACTTAAAATTGTTTAATTTTCATTGTACATTTATAATTAGTACCACTTACACAGTTACATTCTCCAAGTGTATTTAATTAAAGCTCCTATGTTCAGTGATTTGGTCATTTAGTCAGTAGACGATAACATCATACTGATGTCACTGGAGCACACTCAGAAAGGACCACCCACTCAGCCCCAGGATTTACCATTATTCTCCCTTAAAATCTTCCCTTTGAATATGGAAAGAGAAATATGTTCCTGCACTTCCACTGGAATTCCCTACTTCAACAAAGAGCACCCGTGAATCGGCCTATATCTGGGAGTATACCCTCCAAGGTCTTGCAGAGGCAGCCCCGAGTCCTGAGAGCCACCAAATTAACAGAGTGGTGTTTCTCAGCACTGACCTCAACTCACCTCCAATTTCAGTTCTGTGGAAAAACATATCTTTCATAGAAAACAGTCAGGGCGGCTTACATGACCTACATGCTTATTTTTCTTCCTTTTCTGTTACTTCCAAAAATCCACAATTTCTTTTTTGAAAGCGCAGCTTCAGTGTTAATTAAATGTCATATAAAATGCTGCTTCTGATTAAACGCATATTATATTTTTTAAGCACCCAAGATACGGGTAAGTTCCAGATTCTGAACATTGATGTGTCAACAGAATGTATATGCAGAGAACTTACTATGCTTCATGTTAGCTTACAGTAAAAAATGCATTATGTGTGCTAGGCATGAGCATTACCATTTTATAGATATTAAAAGGGAATTTTATTGTTTCTGCTCTATTAAACAGGTTAGAACTGAGTTGACAAAGCCAGTCATTACTCATCATGCAGGAATCAAAACAAAGATATGAGGAGAGAGATATCCAGCTCAGTACCTTGGTCCTTGATTTTTTTTTACTTAGCACTGGGACCAAGGCAGTATATACAGTCAGTAGAAACCACACTCCACTTTTTGAATTTTCATCTTTTCCTAGTCTAGCAATATGCTGTACAACATTCTGTCTTCATGCTGGACAGCACAGCAAATTGAAGCTCCAAGTCAGCCATCCAAACAAAGAACACATAACCCACAGAACACTGTGCTGCTAAACTGTGCTACTCTCTAGGACAGGTGCATTAAGTGTATATTTTAGCTTGTGATATTTTCAATTTATGATTGGTTTATCGGGACATAACATTGTGGTAAATTGAAAAGTACCTATGCAAGGAGGCAGGGATTCTTGAGAACCATTTTAGAGGCTAAAACTGTGACAATTACACTGGAGGGTTCAGCAGGACACAGTGAATAAGGCTGGATACAATTCAAACATAGAATCCTTTAAGGAGCTGAAAGACAGCTACAAGGAAAATTATGAAACACAGAAAGAAGAAACTGTAGAAGACATTAGAAAATGGTGAGACCTCCTTGTCCACGGAGCAGAAGAATATTGTGAAAATGGCAGTATTACTGAAAGGAATCTACAGATTCAATGTAATTCTCATTAAAATAGCAATATTTTTCAGAGAAATAAAAAATGTAATTCTGAATTTCATGTAGAAGCAAAAAAAAAAAAAAAACAGAACAACCAATACAACTATGAGTAAGAAAGAGCAAAGCTAGAGACATTACAGTGCCAGATTTCAATCTATACTCTAAAGCCATAGCAATATAAACAGTATGATTCTAACACAAAACCAGAAATAGAGACCAATACAAAAGAATACAGGACAGAACAGATCCATGTACCTACAACTATCTGATTTTTGACAAAGGTACCAAAAAAATATATATTGGAGAAAAGACAGGCTCTTTAACAAGTGATACTGGGAAAATTGAATATCCACATCCATAAGATTTAACCTAGATCTCTATCTCTCAAAATATACTAAAATCAAATAAAAGTGGACCAAAGATCTAAATATAAAATCAAAAATATTGACACTGATGGAAGAAGACATAGATGAAATATTTGAATCCATAGCCACAGACACAGATTTCCTTAATAGGACTTCAAAAGCATAGGAAATCATACCAAGAATCAATAAACAAGACTACATCAAATAAAAACTTCTGCATGCAAAGAAAACTACAGAATGATAAAACAACATATTTAATGAGAGAAAATTTTTCCTAGCTATGCTTCTAATAGGAGTAATATCTAGCAGATATAAAGAACTCAAAAAATTGTCCTCCCAAAACAAAGAATCCAATAAAAAAATGGACACATGAACTGAGTACACATTTCTCAAAAGAAGCAAAAATGAAAAAAATGTCCAACATCTCTAGTCATTAGCTAATTGCAAATCCAACTGCTTTTATAATTCCATTCTACCCCAATCAGAATGGCTGCTATCAAGAATAAAAAAAATACTGGCAAGGATAAGGTGGAGAATGGTACTTCTGATGCTGTGAATGGGATATAAACTAGTATAACCACCGTGAAAGTCAGTTTCAAAACTAAAAATTGATACAATCTTTAATTCAGCTATACCACTCCTTAGGCATACTTCCCAAATAAGACTTACATTTATAATAATTCATATATGCCCTTGTTTATTGCGCTACAACTCACAGTAACTAAACTCTGGAAAAACCTAAATGTTTGTCAGCAGACGAATGGTAAAAAAAAAAATATGGTATATCTTGTATATAGTTTATTGATGGATCTTGTTTCTTGATCCACGCTCCCTGTGTTTGTTTTTATTACTGACCTGAAGTCATCTACATTAATGGTTACAACTGGCATACATCGGTTGCTCTCTGTCAGGCTATCCTCTTGCTGTTGGCCCTTTTCTCCTTCATTCAGTTGCCTACCTTGTTTGGCAATCGTCCTCTGCTGCTGTTCCGGAAAACATGGTCATCTTTGTCTTTCTCCAGAATATCCTTCAACACTCTCTGTAAGGTTGGTTTAGTGGTCATGAATTCCTTCAGTTGTTCTTTATCATGGAAGTATCTTATTTTCCCATCAGTTATAGAGATAGTTTTTCAGGGTACATCAATCTGAGTTGGAAGTTGTTTTCTTTCAGGATTTGAAACTCTTCACTACAAACTCTTCTTGACTTGATGGTTTGTGTTGACAAGTCTGCCATGATCCAAGAAATACATTTAACTCAAAAAGAAATTCATAGACTGAAAATCAAAGAAGATAACTGTTCCAAGTGACAGGAGATTAAAAAAAAAGCAATAGTAACTTGTCCATCAACTGCAGAATGGATAGGAAAGATGTGGTATTTTCATACAATGGAAAGCTATCCAGCTATAAAGCAAGATAATCTCATAGCTCTTGTAGGTAAATGGATGCAACTGGAGATCATGCTCATAGATGAAATGGTTTGGACTCATACAGGTAAACACTGAGTTATCTCCCTAGCATAAAAATCTGACGGAGTTAGTGGAATCCAAAAAGCACAATAGATATGAAAGTGATAGGGGAGGAAATGCCTAAAAAGGGAAAATGGTAACCAATGTTAATTTCCTGTTTTCTTGTTTTGAATTATTGTGTTGCAGACTGAGCATCTGGCTCACTGTGTTAGGTGCTCAGTCCACCTGGCTGGCAAGAGGGAGGTCACTGGTTCAATCCTTGCATTCCCTTTGGGCTCGTGAATTCTTGTGTTGTTTTCATAATTTTGTTAGGTTTGGTTTTATTCTGTCCTTTTTTGATAGATTTTATTGTATCTGATGTTATGGGTAGCTATTTTGATGATAATGGGATGTATCCCATTACATCCCATTGCTATCATCTTGTTTTGAAGTCCTATAATGCTTTCATTTTTGTTTTGATTGGTTTGTTCTGTTTTGTTTTGATTTTATTATGCCCGATTCTATGGACAACTATTTTGAGAAAACAAGACATTTTGGTGACCACTGTTGATTTCCTATCATCTTGTTTTTAAGTCTTATAATGCTTTCAATTCTTTTGTCATGATTTGTGCTTTTTTTATTCCTGGTTTTACTCTTTTTTATTTGATTATATTACATGTGATAGTATGTACAGCTATTTTGAAGAAAACAGGATACATGACAGTAGCCATTGTTCATTTCCTACTATCTTGTTTTGAAGTATTGTAATGCTTTCATTCCTTGGTCTTGATTGGTTTTAGCCTATATGTATTGTTTGATTTTAATATGTATGAAGATATGGACAGCTATTTTGAAGAAAACAAAAGATAATATGGTAGCCATTGTTGATTTCTTGTTACTTTGTTTTGAAGTCCTATAACGCTTCCATTATTTTGTTTTGGTTGGTTTTGTTCTGTTTTGTTTTGTTTGCTTTTATTGTTTGTGGTGATATGGATAACTACTGTCAAAAAAAATGAGAGACATTATGGTAGCTATTGTTGACTTCCTATTGTCTTGTTTTAAAGTATTATATTACTTGCATTGTGCTGTTCTGATTTGCTTTATTCTGTTTTGTTTTGGTTTGGTTTGGTTTGTTCTCTTTAAAAAAAGAAAATGTGGTATATATACACAATAGACTAACTTCCCTATAAAGAAGAGTGAATTCTGTTATTTGCAGGAAAATAGATGAAAGTAGAAAACATCATGTTAAATAGCATATGTTTTCTATTACACAAGAAACATAAAAATACATAAATAAAATAATTAAAGAGATATTTTTGTCACCAAGATGGAATTCTGGATATTTCTTTTTTAATTTTGTAAAGTAGCTTCAGTTACTCATCATACTATCAAAAATTTAGTTCTAAATCATTAGTTGATGCATGTTTTAAAGTTCCAAATTTATTTAAATACTCTTAGTACAGACTTTAGAGGATAATGATTTCACACTGTAAATGTTTGTAAATATTAAAGAACTTCTGTTGGTCCTAGGTTAGCTAAATTATTAAAAGTGTCATTGTTCAATTGTCTGTTCTTTTTTATGCTTTGATTTTATAACTAAATAATTACTTCTGAGATAGCAGTATGTAAAATATAGTCATGATTTCTTAATTTTTTTTTCTCTTAATGTTATTTTTTGAGATTTTGGGTCATTTCTGCCCTTTTTACTGTTTTGTTTTTCTTAAAATAAATAAATAAGTTTCATTCCACAATTGCCCAGAACATATTCTAACTATTGACCAGGAAATACAGTTTCAAATTATCTAAACACATTTTAATGTGACTGAGAGAAACCACATTTTCAGATAACTGACCAAAGTATATACATTACATTTGTTACTTTTAAATACTGAAGAACAATGTTAAGTGTGGTTTATAAATCTTCTTGAGTTATCAAGACTCCCAATGTGATTATGTAAAATAGAAACCTGCTTCCAAATTTCTTAGTAGAATATCTAGGAGCTGAGGAGCAATGGGGATTGGAAATAGTCTTGAGAATAAGCCATATCACCAAATAATGATTACATTGGTCTCCCAAGGAAAAGAGACTACTGAACTATATTCTACCTCACTTCTACTTTTCTATATTGATGAACCGTATAAGCAGCAAATCTGTGAAGGGTCAACACTGTATATTCTTAAGAATGTTGATGAATATATAGATCATTGCATTGTGCTATATCTTTCCACTAAGACTCAGGGAAGTTTTCTCACTGATTTTTGTAGTTATAATTCCCAAATGAATGACTTGATTTCATGTTACACACACCATGAATCTTACCACCAATCACTTTTCTCTCTCTGATTACAGAAAAGTCTAATCGGTGAGCATCTCTGGCCAATATATAGAATTTATAGCTTGAACCTAATGTACTAATACTATTCTTATCTTCACTTTTATTTGGTTGACTTTTTCTTTTGCTGCATTTTTTCTTTAAGTAACTAATTTTCTTAATCTTGCTAGATTTTATGTTTCCTCATAAGTTTATTTAAAACTTTACATACTGGAACAAAATGAGATGCAAATGATTTTAAATGTGTCAGATTTTAAATTGAGTGAATAAATGAATGACGAATAGGAAAAGTATGCAGAGTGTGATTTTTAAACTTACCTTCTTCAAGTCATCGCTTTATTCATATTTCTCTTTTTTTAAAACCAAGGTCTAAATAACTCCCTTATCCTGAAATTTCTCAAAGCATATTAGCTTTTAAATAAGATCACTATCAGGTTTCTCCTTGTGTATTATATTCCTTGAAATTATTATACTTCTCGTTATAAAAATAATTTTGCCAAATTATAAAAGATAAAAAGAGTATTTTAAATAACTTTTGAGCCTATCAAATGACCATGCTTATCATTTCTTCTATTATTTTTATGTGGGCATATTTCATTCTAGTCAAATTTTATCAGTCTATATCGCTATTTCAATTTTATTGAGCAAATATATTCTGAGTACGAATCTCATACTGGAGGCAATGATAAAGACAAACAGGTATAGTTCAAACAGCTCTCAATTTAACAACCTATAACAATGTTTAAAGAAAGAAAGTACAGAAAATATGAGGAGACTGATAGGCCTCAATCAGCAAGAAACTCTTCAGGTTGGACCAAAGTAATGGAGAAGAGTTCTGCTGACAAACACTAGGAGAAAGGCATTCACACTGCCCCAGTGTGATGGTTTGAGTGAAGCAATCACAAAAGAAGAACCCAAAGTCACACGGATATTAGGATATTGGAGAGTATTACATACCATAAAAAGGAATTTGGACATTCATTCTAGATACTATATAAATGAAGACAGAGATCTAAGTGGAAGAGTAACACAAGCAGATTTGAATTTCATGGATCAGTTGAACAGGATCTTGAGAATAACTGAACAGGTTATTAGAAATGGGTCATTCCCCAAAACAGATAAGCCATTTGGGAGGCCAAAAGTGTAGGCAGAGAACAAGAAGAAACCTCCTATGAAGACTTTGGTTGAAGTATATATGCACTCTTAAAGGATCAAGTAACAAATATTCCATACAAGCAGAGATTGTACAGCATTTCTCAGTGTGACTCTTTCACCTAATTCACATGCTAATTCCTCTCACCTCTGTGAATGTGAATCAACAAATATGAGACACAAAAATCTGCATCACTAGCAAACAGTCCAGATTTCCATGCCCAAAATTGTAGGAAGCCCTGTAATTGGCTGCCACCTTATATCTGCAGGCCATACCACCTTAACATCTGCAGGCAACACCACCTTAACTCCCTTTAGGAGTTCAGTTTGGTAGTTAAGCAGCACCTTGCCTACCTAGCCTGTTTGGCTTATTCAGGAATTATGTTAATCAGCCCACCTTATGGAGCCCGCGTGGGAAATTTGAACTGACCTATAACCCTCGGTCTTGCCACTGTTGCTAAGTTACCTGCTGATGTCTCAGCATCCAAATCCCTCCTCCCCAATATCCTATATATTTGCTACTCCTTCCATGAATAAACAAGACTTGATTGGAATTCTTCATCTTGTCTCCGCTCTTTGTGTCTCTTCTTTCCTTTTCATCCCCACTCCCTCTCTAGGGTCTCCGTGGACTTACCCGCGGGCCGGGTCACAAAATGTTTGTGAAATATTGATTTCAATGAAATCTCAATTCTAGGAAGTTCCATGTTTCTGGTTCATAACTCTATTTTAACCACCTGGAAAAGCAAAGTTTGACTCTCCAATGGATAAACAAAAGATGAGCTTCTGCTGGCCCTGCATGAGACCCCATACAACACTGTCCTTCACAGAAAGTCCCAGCTGACAGAGAAGGATTGAGACCATTCAGCCTATACTTTATTGCACCCAGGCTGAATGCAGTCAGCTTGTAATGAGAAATATCACCCAAAAAAGAAGAAAAAAAAAAAAAAAACTATCCTTTGGAATTTGTCATTCTGTCTCTTGTAGTGAAGTATTTGAGGACTGTTGATTTACAAAATGTGTTCTCTTATCAAGTTTCCAAGGAGATAGTTCTTTGTCCTATTGTAAATAGCTGTTCATATTTTTAGAAGTTAAGTCATTTTCTTGAGAGTAACTGAACTGGTTAACTAATCAAATTCCCCCTTTTCTTTGAAAGTATAAAAATCTGTGTTAGTCCAATTTCTCATTTCTGGAGCAAAACACCCTATACTCACAATTTAAAAGAGAAGTTTATTTGGCTCATGGTTTCACTGGCTTCAATCCATGGCTGTTTGGCTCCAAGGCAGAAATGGCAATGGTGGAAGGGCTTGGTGGAAGACAGCTGCTCACCCATTCTAGCCAGGAAACAGAGACAGAGGGTGAGCTAGGGACAAGAAAACATCTTTTAGGTTGCTTCCCCAGTGACCCACTCTTTCCACCTGTCCCCACCTCCTAATAGCTCTTCAGGCATGAATTCATCAATGGATTAACCCACTGATGAGTACAATGCCTTATGATCCAATCACTTTTGAAAAATCCTGTCTTTATATACATGAAATTTTGGGAGGACATTTTGGATATAAACCATAACAACACATAAGGTCCCACCAAATACCTAAAATTTAAGAGTGTGGCTCTCTGAGTTTTGGCCCTATTTTGATTAGTGCTATTCTTGTTTATCTTTGTCTTTTATACCTACTTCAAATTTATATTACCTTTCTATCTGTTATGTATCCTTAAAAACCAATTTATAATACTTACTGGGAATAAGAATTTTTTGGGCCAACAGATAACTGGGTAAAAAGATAAATCCTTATGGGTCCCATTTTCCTTAACTATAAAATGAAGAATTAGCCTTGGTGACCATTAATGTATTGTCTAGCCTAAAGCCTAAAATTTTAACATAGGTTTTGGTACAACAATGAAATCTTCCTTTTAAACATATCATATTTCTCATGTATTATTGTAACATTTTTCTAAGAGCTATGTCATAAAAGTGAAGAAATCAATTTCAAAGGCATTTATATCTAGGAAATGTAATTGCTTTTCATTCTATCTTGCTTTTAGATAGTGTTTTATGACTTTATGACACCAAGAGAAAAACAGAAAAGTCACAGTGCCAGTTAAAAAAATTCTACTTGAACCTTAATCAACTTTTTTATTCATCAATCTTCCAACAAATTTTATTTTATTTTGTTTCTTCACTTTGTTGGTCTATTCCTTTCACCAGAAGATGAAGTCATAAAATTTTGATTTAAAAGCAATAATTAAGTTTCAATTCTAAAATTTAATATCGAATATTGTGACAATTAATTCCATTGCATTACACTTTTGAAAGCTATTAAAATTATAAATACTATGTTACATGTATTTTATCACTATTTTTAAAGTAATAACAAAAGTCAAAAAGTTACCAACTTTATTCATGATCTTGTATGTTAATGTTTTTGTGTGATTCTTTTATAACCACCCTTGATATTTGGGAAACTATAAAATTATAGAGTTGATTTTTAGATTCTGATATCCTTTCAACAATACTGCTATATAAAGAACTATAAATAGCATCTCATAGAACACAACTGTCACAAAATTATCAGAGTTATTATTGTTTCTTAAAGAATGCATAAACTTTCCCTTATTTATTATCCCTGACTGACAGGAAATATTTTGTTTGTTTTCTAGACTACACTTGCACTTTAAGGTTTTTGAAATGTGTTCCCTGCCTATATGTAACACAGTAAGTGTCTTTCAATCCCTCAGTCTAAACATAAGATCTATTCACATTCCCTAAGAATGTATATCCTCTATTTCACAGAAAGAAAAAGGAAGGAGGGAGGGAGGAGGGAAGGAAGATACAGATATATATACATATATATACATATATATATATGTATATATATATATATATATATATAGAGAGAGAGAGAGAGAGAGACAGAGAGAGAGAGAGAGATACATAAACATAGGCATATTGTTCCCAGTTGGAAAGCTGGTTTAGCAAGGACAGAAAATACCAAAAGACAATATAAAGTAGAAAAAGGAAAGAATTTAACCTAACCTTTATGAAGACCATTCATATTTTTGTAAAGCATGTCATGAAAGTCTCATTGAATTCTCATTTTCTAGCCTCAAAAAAGCACTAGCATTTGTGCCTGACTTGAACATATCTTTGCCTCCCCGCTTTTTCCTATTTATTTTAACTTTAAGATCATCTCCCTGGCTCTATATTCTTGATTCCAAGTCTTTCCTTCAGGACTGACAATTGATCTCTCCTGACATGGCATTTAGAACTTCTCTACAGCACAAAGAGAAACTAACAGACCTCAGCCTCATCACCAGCTTCCTGCTGACACCCAAAGGTGAATGCACCCCCAAGTCAACCTGTCAAAAAGGTCTCCCTACAGATTTTCTCCCTGTGAACATAATGATAAAAGGCACCGCCTTAGCCAGACAGCATCCCAAATGGCACAGGAAGAAAGAGACATTGTCTGTACCTGCAACAAACTGATTTATAAATTCAAAGATAAAGAAAAATTCAGCAGACTTGACTTTGTTCAATGCCAAGTAGCCATCCATACGTCCCAAGAGTGGACAAACACTTTCTATGGAAATATCTAAAGTTCTTCTGTTCATATTATCAGTTCTTCTCTTGACTTTCACCTCTCATAGTTAGAATCGCAGGAAAAAAATCACTGACCAGCTGGAGGTTTAGCTCAGCTGCACAAGCACCTGCCTGGCAAATGTGAGGTCATGAGTTTGATCTCCAGTACAAATAAAAACAATCACTGACCAAACACACTCCACAATCACTTTATCCCTGACTTTTCCCACTAGTCTGGTTTTGAGACATAAAGACTGGGGACTTCTAAAAACTTTTCATCTAAACTTTGAATACATTCAACTAGTTAAAAAAATTTATTTTATCACATTCCACAAAGATTTCATTTCATATAACTCATGATTATTAACAGGTCCATATGTAAAAGCAAATAACTAAAACAGTAAAAATGTCTATAAAAACAACCTCTTTCAGAGTCCTTCTGTTTTCAGGAGCCTTCTTTTGAATCAATCTTTAATCAATACAATTAACATAATGGCAATTAAAAGTTGTTAGATACAGGAAAGATGGAGCAAGTCACACTGTCACAAATGTTTATTATTTTCTCTTTAAAGATTTGTGAAATGCGATGGATTGAACACAGTAATTTAATGCCTTTTAAGCTGTCACTTAAATATCATGTTCCTTTTTAAATTACAGCCTCTCCTGCCCTTTATGAGTTTGATATCCATTACTGTTAAACTCATGACTCTGATTTCAGGATAAAGAACACCACATAACTAATTTACATTTTCTTATGTCCCATTAAATGGCTTTTTCTGGGTTCATTTAGACTTTTATAAAAGTATGTCTTTCACTTAATGTATAGTCATTTTATACAGTTAGAAGAGAGAACTAATTTTTTAAGCTGAAGGGTTAAGTTTTATTTCAGAATGTACAGAATTCATTTTATTCATCTTTATAAAGCTAATGCTTTGCAACACGTGACACAGGGCTGGCATGTAATAAACACTGACGAGCTAAGAAAAAAGTTTTCAGCACAATGAATTCCTCCATATCGCTAGCTCACGTGTGATTCTGACATTGACCTTAGTCTTGTACATAAAAGACTTGAACTCTTTAGGAGGACACTTTGGGTTTTGCTGGTTTCCTTGTTGGTGGTTTGTTTCTTTGTATCTTTAAATATTTCATGTTTACAATCATTGTATATATTTACAGAGTACAATGTGATAATTCAACACATGTATACAATGTGCAGTGATCAAATCAGAGTAACACATATCTTTGTATTGAGAACCTTTAAATATTTCATGTTTCTGCTACTAGTTTAAAATACATGAGAAATCTCTACAAACTGTAGTCAGCATAGTATGCTAATATCCAGCTGTCTTGTTGTGAAGTGCTATGTTGCTTACATTGTTCTGTTCTGATCTGCTTTGTTCGGTCCTATTTTGTTTTATTCTCTTTAAAATAAAATTTAAAAAAAAAGAAAGAAAGAAACGAACCCTACAACTTATTCCCACTGTTTGGAACCTGTTATTTAACCTCTGTCTCCTCCTTCTCACCTTTCCTAGCCTTTAGTAACCACCGCAGTATTCTGCTCTCTGCTGCTCTTCAAGATCAACACTTTTAGCTTCCACACATGAATGAGAACTTGCTGCACTCATCTTTCTTCGTCTGGTTTATTTCACTTTTTATTTTCAGTAATGTCTTTTAATTCCACCCATATTGACACAGAGAACAGGATTTCATTTTTATTTATGGCTCTACATTTCATTATGTATGTATTTTTACTTTTTTGATTTTAAAAAGAAAAGCAATGATATAAAATTTTGCATCAAGATGATAGGAAACTAACAATAGTTAATATATTTCATAGTGTTATCTTCAAAGTTGCCGCTCAGATTACAAGATATAGGCATGCAAAATTGGTCAAACAATACAAGCACAAACGCTTCTTTTCAAATAACTAAAAGAAATTAATATTTTAATTATCTTAGCCATCATATAGATAGATAGTGATGGACACATTCTTTTCTCTTCTCCTTTCCTCCATCCAGTTGCTCTTTTCTTTTTAGCAATTTCTTTTCTTTCTTGATATCTATCATAGATTTTAGAGATCTCATTTACTCTTTCAATTTATTAAACTAGGGAGACAATATGAGATGTACACGTGAATCTGATTCATTTCACTTGTGTCCATTTACCTACAAAAGCCTCAAATTTATCTATTTTTTAAAAAAATAGCTGAGCAGTACTCCAGTGCTTACAAATACCACATTTTTTAACCATTCCTTGGTTGAGGGACATTTGGGCTGTTTCAAAGAGTTACCTATCACAAACTATGCTGCTATAAACATGGATGTACATTTATCTCTGTGCTATGATGTTTTCAATTTTTCTGAGAAAATATCACAAACAGGGGTGTATGGAGAGAATGAGCTCTCCAAACCTACATCTTTTGAGGAGCTTTCACACTGAGATCCACAGTGGTGGAACCAGTCTACACTACTACCAACACTGGAGAAGTGTCCGTTTTTCCCCATAGCTCCATCAGTATTTGTTACTGGTTGATTTCTTGCTGATGCTCATTCTTTCTGGGGTGAGATGGAATCTCAGTATGGTTTTAATTTGCATTTCTCAAATAATCAATGATATTAAACATTTTTATGCATTTATTTGAAACCAACCTACACAGGAAGTACTTCAAAGAATCAACAACTGGGATCTCATCTTACTAAAAAGTTTTGCACATCAAAAAAATCAGCAACAGAGTGAAAATAAAACCCACACGGTGGGAAAAAAATTTACCCAAT